CCAACCTAAGGAGGACCCCAACCATCTTGTCATCATCTAGTCGGCGGAGAGATTCCTGCTTCACCCCACCTGTGACCCTGCCAACATACCATTTTCAGCTTATGCGTCATATGTCCAATATGAACCAATGGGATTCTGTACTTTGTATAGTGGCCTCTTTAGAATGTTAGATAATAAAATCTGGTATTAAGCCTTATAAAAATAAGGCACTGGAAGGAGGGGGTATCTCAGGTTTTGGTTCAGAGTTATGCCTCAGTTTCTCTTTTTAGTTGCTTGGGGTGATTTTTGTCCCCCCCCCACACACACACAGTCAGGCAAGGCTTTAAGAAAGCATAAAAATGGGGGGAAAGCAGTTCGACAAGACTNGCCTCAGTTTCTCTTTTTAGTTGCTTGGGGTGATTTTTGTCCCCCCCCCACACACACACAGGCAAGGCTTTAAGAAAGCACAAAAATGGGGGGAAAGCAGTTCGACAACACGAACCACCAGAACAACTGAGTCTGCTATAATATGCAAAGTGCCATGCCCAGTCTCAAACCTCTGCACAGAACAGGGAGCCAGGCAACTTCTGTATTGTTCACAGAGGAAGTCCTCTTGGAAGTCACTGGTCTTTTCATTTACCCAGTTGTAGCCAGGGTGTATACAGTTTTCCTGCTGCTGCTTATGTCCCTTTTCCTAAGTTCACAAGAAGCCTTCCCAAGGTTTTCTGAATTCTTTACGGTTTCTTAAGAGTACAATAATATTCTCTTACCTTCATACACCATGTGTCAGCTGTTCCTCAAATGATGGGTATCTATTTTTCAACAAGTTTTTGCTACCAAAACAAAAAGTGCAGCTGTACATATTCAGGTATATGTAAGACAGAATTTTTTATTCTTTTGCCTCCTTTAGAATGTATGCTGAGCAACGGGGTCTCTGCATCAAAGGGAATGAACATCTAAGTCACTTTTGTTGAATACTTTCAATGCTTTCGAGATTGTTTGGGCCAATTCACAACACCACCAACACAGTGTCCAAGTTCTCACGTCCCTCCATTAATGATTATTCCTTATATCCTGGCATCATTCTACAGTATCCCCTTAGAATCCTAGAATTTCAATGTTAGAAGAGACCTCATTACCCAATCTGTTCAACCTAAATCCAAAAAGGAAACCCTTGAGAACGCACCGAATTCCTAGTCACCCAACTCCCTTGGTAACCTCTAATGTAAACAAATCTACCATCTCCCTCGGGAGGCCTGGCTGCCATGACATACCTCTTCCATTCTCTGGGGTGGTTCTGCTTGTTCAGACATGTCCGACTCTTCATGACTCCATTGACCACAGCACACCAATACTGTCCATAGGGTTTTCTC